AGTTACTTTTTTAGTTCGCTATTTTTGATTTTATTTACATTTTTTTACCGTAATTTGGAGGTACTCAAATTTCTACATTGTTATCCAGTAGCGTATGAATATTCATCAATTTCTTCGCATTTTGATACGGGTTTCATTGAAAAAAATACATCTCGTTTTTACAAGCTTTTAAAATCAGGTGTTCCGTATTAGGTGCTGTTACCCTACCTATCAAATTTAATTTCAAGTCGTCAACAAGAGTTTGAATGTTATAAAATCAATAGTTTTTATGTCTCCATTATAATGAACCTTCAACTTTCCTACTATTAAATTTTTCCCAATACTAAATAATTCTAATTTATTTTGTCCTAATAATTTTAATCATTTATTCATCGAAGCCTCTTCATTTTCCTTGATTCTAAAGCACAAACACAAACGATGCGCATAATATATTTCATCACATTTTAATTAAACCTCGAATACCAGTGTTTGAATGCTTTCATTTCGAACTTCTCTTTCAAGTTAATCAGAATAAGGAGCCTAAGATACGTCCATAGACGATTAATTAAACTCCCAACTACCAAATACTGGGACTAATCATCCGTAATTCGGTCGTCGGCATGCGTTAACGAAAAACAGGGCTGTCAGCGTGCTGACATTTCGCGCGGCACGGCCCCGTGCTATCCGAACTTAACTAAACTTCCGGCAGTTCATCCCGGGAATGCGAGGCAACCGTAGAATTCCCGAATTCGCGCATGCGGCCGAAAGTTTGGCCAGGAAACCGCAGCCGAGCGTCTAGTTTAAAGGCGGAAATTCGAAGCGGACCGCGAAAAGTAACAGAGACCGGCTTCGGAAAAACGCGTAACTCGCGGCGGCGCGGCGTCCGCACCCGGCTTTAAGGTTATTGCAGTCCATTTTCAATCCGCGCTCTCTCACGGGACGCGTGAGCCCGTCCGCGGTATCCTATACCGTGAAATCTAATGGCAGGATTCGGGGAATAACTGCCGCTGCGCCTCACTGACACAGAACTCTTCCAGTTTCCAAAGCGTGTTTCGTTACTTTTGCGGCATGTAGCCACCGACACGTTTAAAATGGAAACCAGGTTGATCGTGGCTTCGAGTAATCGAAGCAGACACCGGAAAATCGGTTGCCAAAGCTCAATACAACGCCTAAATAATATTTCCGCCGGCTCTTTCGGCGATCATTCGCGATCGGGCCACGTGTATTTATGTAAATTCCACTTTTTAAGAACATTATTGGAAAAATAGCATACTGTGCATACTTTATATATATTCTCATATCATAATCATTCTGACCTTATGAAATATAAGGTATGAAAACTTTTAGTTTAATTGCTAGGAAAACAGGAATGGTGGAAAGTAACGTAAAGAGTAAAATAGAAATAAAATTATATTAATACTTAATTAAGTGATTTCTGAATTAAAGGGGTCATATCATTATGCATAATGGGAATCTCGATATGTCCAAGGCGAGACAACTTATTCATTAGTATTTTCCTAACACACTTTGCAGCTGAAAGGAAACAAACTTTTACGCTTTGAAAAATATTACTATTTAATTTAAACGATTACTTACATTTACAGAGGACACCAATTTAACAAAAGAACGTGTCAAAGAGTCAAAAGTGTTTTGAATTGTTTTATAAATTTTTACAATATCCCTATTATATGTCATACAATTATTTCATATAATTTAGGAGCTCTAATTGAAAGACACATAAATGTAGAATCGGGAAGGAAGCACCATTTGCCAATAGTTCGATGAAATTAATCTGCTGGTGTTTATCCACGTGAGTAATGGAGGGTTAAAATTGAATACTAGCGTCCAATGTGTATTAAACTGACATACATATAACAAGAGTACACTGCACTGATTGTACTCTCGTATTTGAGATTCCGGAACCTTAGTATGCACATAGCACGGTAACGTATCCATTATAAATCGGAGCATGAGCTCCCTAGTAAGGGAGTGTAATATAAAATTTTCAATTGAATGCTCTGATATGAAAATGCTGAAAAATTCAGATAAGCTGACACTGTTTCTAATATGCTTTAAATAAATTTATATATGAAAAAATAAATATATGTTTCATGCATAAAAAAAATCAGTGTTCTCAATATTACATTTCTGCTTTATTTATAAAAATAAATATATTTGAAAATAAATCTTAGTTTTATGATTTTAATAAATAGATCGATATTCTTTAAATAATTCTAAAATATAAGATTGGAAATGAATAATTTTAACTCATTTGATAATATCTGATTGCTTTATACGATTCAATATATAGTATCGAAATTGCTTTGATATGTATATACGTGAGACCGAAGCTGAGCAGCGGTTATATTTACATACGAAGTTTTGAGGACACCGTGCTTGCAACATATGTATTTCGCGAGCTTTTAGAAAGAAGAATGAACGGAGTGTTTCCAACACGGAGAACGGAAGAATGCCGGGATTCTCTATTCTTCCCTTTTTTGTTCATTTGTATAGAATGCACTGAATTCAATGCAGTCGCAGATTGCGCGAAACGCCTACTATTTTGCATTCAGCTGGCAATTAATTAAGGTAACATTCAAAGACCAGCTGTCGTTTGGACGAAAATGGGTTGCGCGCCGGAACTTCTGCTAAAAGAGCTTCGCGCAATTTGCAACAAATGCGGACCAGTGTTGAAACAATTTGTTCGTTTGATGTGAACGCTTCCCGCGCTGTTCGTGACCCGCGCGCAAACAAATTTCGCGTCACGCACGAACCGCGTGGATTATTTATGTTACAGATTTTATTGTCTCGTTTATCGGGGCGGCGCGTGTCGATGGAGTAATCGGATCCGGCCATGTAAAATGTCATTTCTCAGATACGTTCGTTGCGAACAGACATAGCATTTTTTGTTTGCGTGTGAAACGCTCTATGCGAATTGTAAAAATTCGAGGATTAAATTCTTGTTAATCATGTAGTTGTTTATTTAATAATATTAAAAGTGGAATTCATTAAAATTACAGGAAAATGAGATAAAATATGTTATACGATCTATGTTTAGAACATGTTTTTAAATTCATACGGTAGATGAAGAATGGAAGCTATGGTACATTTCGGAATAATAAGACCACCATAGAAATTGGTTACTCTAAAGATATGGTAAATATTTTAAAAAATTGCAATAACAGAAAATAAAGATTAATAAACTTTTTTATGTCCAATTTGAATAAAGCATGCATGATTATTTAAAATTAAGATGATTTTAGAGATTATTATTTTTTGACTGACTAATTTTATAAAAATTGATATTGTGTATAAATACCCAAGAAATTAATGTTAGCAGTAATATTATAACGAAGTTCTAATAAAGTGAAATTTCAAACCTAATAATAATTAGAAATTAATCATAATCAAAGTACATAAAAAATAATGAAATTAAAAATTATTGCCCACTGGTTACATAAATTTCAGATATAGGTACTTTGATTTTCTTCATCTGTTCTACTTTGAGAAAACGTTTTCTTTTTAACTTATTTATGCAAAAATATATATTAAATAAATACTTATAAAAGGAGCATCCATATCAGAGGTGTGTGTTTAAAATGTATTACTTTTTGTTGTAAACCTGTAGTTTGAACAAGATTATTACTAATCAAGATAACATAGTGTCAAGAGATGTAAGTCAGTGAAACTCAATGTCAAGATATTCGAAGCGGAATAATCCGGATTAATAATCAGAATAATCTTAAACTTAGAAATTGGGATCAGAATAATTTCTGGTTAAGGTACCCCAAGTACACTGAAACGGTATTGAATAATCTTAATAGAAGTAACTTGAAGTTTCAGACTCAAATATTTATAAATCGCATAATTCGAGTAAAAAACATTAACATCGATATTGTTTCAATCAAAAACCGAAATTTTATGTTAGAGTTAATTATATAGGCAATAACACAACATTATAGCAAGTGGACAAAATTTATTTTTAGATATATTCATTATATGTATATATCAAATGATTTCAATAATAATATTTTTGAGTGCTCGTTAAATTAAATTTCTTTACTGATCGTGCTTTCATGTTTATTTCATTATATCACAGTTACATAATTAGGTTAGCCTTTACATTGTCTATTATTACTCTAATTTACAAAAACACTGATGACCTTGCTATTTTGTAACTAACCTTAAAAAATATTGTTTGTTTGTAACAATTTTTAGTTTCTTTAAAACCAAATCACGTTTTCCTTGATTTTTCCTACCATCCAAAGCAAGTGGACCATTTAAAATGTGTAAGATAATTAGGATATTATGAATATTTACAATAATGTTTAATCTTGCATATTGTACCGAAGAGATCCGTAATATAACAAAAACCAGCTCACATCACTTTGTACGCCACTGAAAATCAAAAAGCAATTTAATGATTTGCATAATTCCATTTGTTTTCTAAATATTCAATTTGATAGCTTCGAAACTCCCAGCTGCGGAGTAGAATTCCTCTTCTCGAACTGGTCCATCGACCGGCGAAGGAAATACATGCAAATTGTTTTCGTGTACTTTATACATACAGAGAATTTCATCAAAATTCGTGCGAACAGAATAATACTCTGTCAGTCAGCATTAATGTATGATAAAATATAATCTTTAAGTTCAGTTTATCTCGGTATTTTAAACAAATACGTCTTTGACTACATAAACACGATCAAATTAGAAGACACATATATTCACGTATAAAATACAAAACGGTACAACTTAGATAAAATAAGTAGAAATTTATATTTCAAATTTGGTGAAAATTTATATAAATTTTGATTTACATTGGAATCTAATAAAGTTCTTTACAAAAGATATAACTTTCTGTTTAATTCATTTATTGTTCCAAGTGTTTGTGCCTTACAATGACAGTAGTTGAATAAAAGTTTACTTTCTTTTACAAATGGTCATTACGTATTCATATTATATTGTAGGAATAATATTAAGTTTTAACAGTAATTGCAATCGTTGAACTTTTTCTTTTACAGGGTATGAATGGGTGGGTTGGAGAAATGACACACCCAGTATGCTTGGACGTCCCGTTGAAATAACCTTCGAATTTGATTACTCGCGTAACTTCACTGCCATACACCTACATACAAACAACTACTTCACCAAAGATGTTCAGGTACGTTATATTTTATATTGTTGTTCGTTTATTTTCACGTACAATAGAAATTGTTTAAAATTTGATACATGAAATCGGAACAAATAAGAAAGAACAAGTGTTCGATTTACAAATTCTTTTTCTTAATGCAATGAAATTATTAAATACAAAAGAAACGAAAGCGTCTCTAAAAGTCTGTCGATTCAAAAAATAAATGTTTTATTTCTGTATATAAGAACGAAAATAATCTTTATAAATTGTTGAAAGACAATCATTCTTTATTCTTTTCTATCTTATTTATTCATCTTAAGTGCAACGCCTTTTGGAGAAAACGAACAGATGTACGCGTTGTTCTGCATAAAAATGCAACGCCGCAATTGTAACCGTTCTTTTTCCATGTATCAAAATTTCGCTGCAGAAAGACTCTCTTTGTATTCATTGTTAAGCTTCACATAACTGCAACATACACGGGAAAAACTGAAGCAATGCAGTCTGGATTTTCTGGGCATTTTCCCCGGCGTAAATTAAAAATATTTGATCGATAAAACAGAAACCCGAAACAGTTAACTGAACGCAACAACACTGATATTTGTTTCTCCACCGAACCAGCAGCTTTGCTAACAGTCCAGGTCCGCGCAGAAACTCTAAATCGCGGTATATACACAGAGATTTGAATGTTTGAAGAACAGCGTGGTTGAAACGGGCTGAATCATTGAAATCCAAAAATCATGTTCCTCTTTCGGGTACAAGAGTCACGAGAAATTCATCCTATCGCCGAACACGGTTCGTATATCGAATGAAAAACGTGTCGGAGGATCTGGAGCAACTCTACCGACAAAGGATTAAATTTTTAATTCGATCAACCTGGATAGCGTTTTCGCGGATCTACGAGAGGCGAAATTGCCAAGAGCGGTTGATAGTTAATGCTCTATTTCGTGTACACGTACGCGCGCACCTCTGTGTATATTGGAACGCGGAAAGAAGAAGACGGTGTGTTTCCATCACGTTCAACCATTTGCTTCCTGTTTACCCGTTCACCAAACCGTTTCATCCCGCTCGCGTATGACATTATACACTTTGTGGCGTTCCAAGCAATTTCGATGTATCTTCATATAATATATCTTTGAAACTATTAGAAAAATTGTTATTAGGATGCACCTGTCAAATATTCAAGAGATATCTGATTATTTAGTCCTACAATACGAAAATTGATATTAAGTTAAATAGATGAAAAAAACTTAGAATTTTTAAACAAATTTTAACGTTAGTTACTTGACCGGTCGTGATACTTTTAGTGTCAAAAATGGAAACAAGATACAAGTTCTCTCATTTTTATTTTAACTCTTAATTATTATGAATAATGAATTCAATAAAGTGTAAGATATTGACTACTTTGTGCTCTGTTTTGCCCACAAGATTTTAGGTACACATATAAGTTCTATATATCTCTAAATATAAATAAATATATCCTAATGATATTTTATTTTATAATTCTATTTATTTAACCATTTATCTGCAGTGGGAACTAAGGGCTTAAATAATTTGAATAGAAACTCATAACTGGACTGCGGATCTTTATGCAAATTCAAATTTTTAAAAACATAATTAGATTCACCCCGGAATTCTGGGTGAATCGGATATTTCTCACTTTTCAGTTTTTTGCTTATAACACGAAGATTTTTAAGTTTTTTAATCTGAAGGTCTATTAATAAGAGATCTATGAAAAAGATGTTGACTCTAAGTTGTAACCATTAGTTTTCCGCTGTTAAAATTGAACTGATCCGATTCGCCTCGGTCTACCCTATCGATGCGTACTATTCGGGACGAAAGGGTTAACCATTTGCATCATAGGGAAAAGTAGAAACTTAATCTTTATCACTAAAAATGTTTTTATTGCATCCACATAAAAATGGTTCGAAATGTATAAAAAATTAAAAACAAAATGGCGTAACCAAGGAATTCATAATCTTATTTAGCGCAATAAAGTTAATACTCATATTCTAATTGTTTTAAACGTTCGCAAGTTTTCTTCAATAAATTTGTTTTAATGAATATTCGAAAATGCTGACCAGTAAATCTTTACGATAGTACTGGACATGGCGTAACTGTCCGTGTTCATGTTCGTATGCGCTCTAGTTATAATATCCCAAAAGTGGTACCCATATATGCGCTCCGGTGATACAGACCAGGAAAAATCCGTGCAAAAATGCGTTAATAATACAAATGGGTTAAACGAGGATAAAAATTTTGCCTTTGGGTTCTGGCAATTGGTCAAATACTTCAACACGTAAGTTGTAGTAACGCTGGCGCTCATTTGTCCGTCAGATAAACGCACGTCTTGTGACCCATTGGTTGGCTAAACCGGTGTGAACGTGTCAATCCGCCATTGTGTATACACGTGTGATTCTTCCGCAGGTCTTTTCGTACGCGAAGGTTTATCTTGGCGCTGGAGGAAATCAGTTTAACGGAGAGCCGGTCCAGTTCTCTTACATACCTGATCTGGTGTTAGAGCAGGCACGTGATGTTACCATAAAGCTTCACTCACGTGCTGGCCGCTTTCTGAAATTGCAGCTGTATTTCGCGGCTCGGTGGATTATGCTCAGCGAAGTAATCTTTGAATCAGGTAAGAAAAACATAAAACACGATTCTCGATAAAAATCTGTTCTATTCGTTTCCTCGTGTTGCTCGTGTACGTATTTAACTCTTATGTTGGCAACCAAAATGTCTGCATTCATCCAACTTTTATTATCACAATATTTTTGCGTGTATTATTTGTTTTCGAAACTAAAATTGATGTAAAAATGTTTAAAAAATGGAAATTCAAAGTGATTTTATCGAACTTTCAGGAGAACAAAATAAAAATTGGGTGAAGAAAGTTGGGTACTAACATAAGGATTAAACAGTTTGGTTAGAATGTAAGTTATCCTTCGCTAAAAAAAGAATAAATGAATAAGGGAAACTCTTTTATCGTTAAAACTGAGGGTATTCTGTAACTGCTTTGTAGATCTCTTAAGTGAAAGAACCTTATACTACATTCTTCATTCATTTTTTCATAAAGAATGATTTCTTGTCGATTAAACCACGTGTATTCAATTAAGTCAGTTAAGCGCATTTACTCCATAAAGTTAAATCATGATTTTCTCCAGGATCAGACCCAAATAAAGAAATCTTACACATAATTCATTTTCTGATTTAATTTTCATAGAGAATCACTATCCTTTCCGTTATTTCTTCAGCTATAGGATAAAATTTATACTTACATTTATGTATCATTTTCCTGTCTAGTTACTAGACGTTTAAAAACAGTTATCGTAGTAGAAACTGAAATTATATATTGCGGTTGGAGAAAATTTCTGTTCGATTTATCAATACTAGTGTAAGGTTACCTTTGTCGCTGTACTCATCAATAACCTCCTTCTGCCCGTTTCCATCTGCTATGCACCACTTGATGATTAATCGACAATCTAGAACCGTTTGTCCATACACAGATATCAATTCCTAGTGATTTTCACGTTAAGTGTACTTCTTTGCGTATAAAAATTATGTAAAAGTAAATATTTTAAATATGAAATATTCTTAAATTAATTAAATATTAATATTACAATTACTAATATTAATAATTAATAAAAATATTAAGTAATAAGAATACGAATTATTCACAATATTATAACATTTCACATTTCACATTTCACATTTCACAAAAGTTTGTTTTTCTCGAGAACTTAGAAATAATAGTTGAAACACTATTATTTTAAATTACTGATATAAGAAATGGGAAATTTGTGAAGAGAAGAGACACAAAAATATTCAAAACGAAATAAGTTACCGCATTTCGTGGCTGCGACTGTATCCTGTTCGCGGTCCACGTGTCTACCCGCGAAGACGGCTCCTGCAGACTCGGGATCAAGGAACGGATGAGTTTCGGAGTCTTCTTTCTTCCTCAATATCTCGGTCGATTCGATTTCCAATTTTCGGTGACACGCTCACGTCACCTCGCCGTGGAAACGATAGAATTATTGGGAAAGATGAAGGATAATCAGGCGCCTCTGCGCTGACGGCGATACGTCAGACCCGGGACGTATCCGCGACGACGGGAACAATGGATTCCCCGGCTTGGCTGACGTGGTGAACGCGAGAGAATTTTTCTCTGTGATCGTTAAGTGGAAAATGTTCTTTTGCTTGAGGTTCTGAAGGCTTGAAATTACTTTGTTATTGTCCATAGCGTCAAGAGTGATCTTTTTGAAGACGATGGAAACAATTTGGCAAGTGAGGCAATGTATATTTGCTTGAAATATCCTTATTGAGAGTTTTTAATAAGAAAAACTGATTTTTCGTATCGATTGTCATTAAAAATTATGACTTTAGGATTATCTTTTTGTTATTAAGGAATGTTAATTTCTTTTTTAGGTATGAATGAAAGTACAAAATCTTGAAAAGTCATTCTTAACTAACATTTATTCGACTACATTATTTATTTTCCAAATTTATAACAAATTTTTAAAAAAATCTTAGTAAAGTATAATTTATCTTAGACTGATCTTTAATATTTCTAATACAAAATGTAAACGATTTCTTTGCAACGTCGAAATGCTTTAAAATTTCCATACTTGTAAATACAACAGATTGCATCTGGACAGAAACCTGTGAAATAAGTTTAAGTTTTAATTCACAATGTAATTTAATGTTTACCTTCTTCAATTAACCCTTAACTACAGAGATGAAAAAGAACTTACACCACAACGTAACTACAAAAGTAATGTTTAAAAAATATATTAAAAAAGTCTTGTTTGTAATTTTTCTTGTATCTTCCTTGCCGATTAAAATACGAAAACAAGTCATTTACTTTAACCAAACTTATTCACGAATTTCTTTGATGCACATTCCATTGGTAAATATGTATGTCCTTTGTTGCGTCCCTGAGATCACCATCGGTTATTAAGGGTTAAGCATAGTTAAATAAGGAGAATTGATTCGATGAATAGTTGAACAAAAATCTGGGAATGTGATTCGTGCTACATTTTCGGAAAAGCGAACGTGAATTATGTGGTACACGAATGGTATGGAATTCCAACCACTCCGGTGCTAAGCAATCGGAGTTATCTTTCGTGAAACGAGAAAACACCGGCACACTGAAGGAATGATTAACGATGGTTACGCTCTATCGGTGTGCCCAACGCTGACTTCGCCAACTGAAACTTTTCGAGGGCGTGTGCTTCAACAGTAAGTTTCGTTTCTGGTCCGCGACCACGTGCTCTCGTTCGAGCAACGTGCTGCGGATACTTGCGCGCTTTTTACCCACCGTCATCTTTTATAGTTGATCGTGTGATATCATCGGAATTGTCATCTCGATTGATTTTAATATACCTTTTGATTATATTAATATAAATAAATCACGACTTTGATGTAAAATCAAAACTAATGTAATCACGAGAAACTACTCTTCTGGAAACTCCTTTTAAGAAATTAATAAGTTGAAAATGAAATAACGAAAAGTTTAAATTCTTATAATTATTCCTTTACGCTATAGATATTCTGTACACTCATATGAATGCTTGAAAACTGCAATCTGATTATAAATGGAAACTACGAAATGAACTTTCGTTATAAAATTAACTACTTTAGCAGAAGCTTCAAGTAATATTTTAACAGAAAAAGCAGCAAGAAATAGCATTAATTAAAGTCTGTCACTTACCTTTAACTTCGTGTTAACTTCGTTTGTTAGTGCCTGATTGCTTTATTCTTTTTATTCAGTAATCATCTGGTATTTATTTAATTCATTATTTCAGTAGTTTCATGCATTTTGCACCCCACTTACGTAATTCGGTTCTTTGTCTTAACTTATTACGTTCTAGACATGTTAATATATTAATTAAATATTTTTACGTATGAAAACTGCACCTATTACTTTCTAAAAATAGATATGTAGACTTCAACAAATATAAAAGGTGAGATTTAGAAAGTTCGTATTCTTCTTGCCATTTTTGCCTATTGCATTGCGTTTATTTATAATATTTCACGTTTCATCATATTTCTTTTCTCTTTCGGATTAAATTTTTCTCTCGTTACATAATTGACAAACTTTTTACCTTCCGAAACTGTCACCCACCTTATCACTAATAGCTCGACTGACCTGATAGCTGTCAAACCTACCATTTAACGACCCAATTCAAAAACTATTAACAGCTTGTCAAAGAAGATCGTTATGTGTCGCCGACAGACCTGGATGAAATATAGAGAGCAAATATTTTGAATGCTATTTAAAATTGTAGGTGCTATATGTTCTAGACGAAATAGTACTTTAACACGCTAAGTGTCATGTCAGTCACTGATGACCGACGCTTCTGAATTACTTGAAAACAATCGTAACATGCAAGATAACCGATGTCGAATGAAAATGTTTAGTGACGTAACTAACTTGACAACAGTGTAATGCAAGGATTGTAACGTTAAATAATTATTGTTCTTTCTTTTCTTTGCTATAAAAGAATAATTACGGAAAAACAAGTTTTTCTCTGAATATCAACTAAAGATTTTTGCAGCACATAACGTGTTAAATTGAAAACAAAATGTTAACAAATAGAATATGATTAACCAACTAATTACAACATTTTTGGTTTTACTAATAGCCGTTGTTCAAAACTCTGAAAAATAGGAAAACAGCTGCTTATCAAAAGAATAGTTATTCTTTCTTAAGAAATAATAAATTTGTTCACATTGTAATATTACAATGTTTTGATTTATACTTATGCTTCATTTTTGTTAATTTTCGGAATTCATTGAAACCTCTTTCATGAAATCTCTATAATATTGTATTAGTTTAGAGAAATATAAATTAATGCAGAGAATTTATCGCAACGGTCAGATATATAGAAAATAAAAAAAATCCGAGTTATTCATTGTTCAAATATGAACCCAAAACACTAATTTTGCAAAATGATGGTGAAACCTGCGTCGAACAGACAAAGAATCCACAGTTCATATGTAAGCACAAGCACTCATGCATCAAATTTAATTATACGTATATTATCTTCCGTAATTATTATGGTATAAAATACATTTACACATATCGAAATGCTAAAAATCCTCTCACTTATTTGATTACAATTCTAACACACACTTTTATTAACCGTCCGAACGCAGAGTAGCACGATCGCGTGATTGCGCCAGAAATACGAAGTATAACGTTCGTATTCATTGAGTAATTATAGTTGTATCAATACTAATTTTCAATAAAATAAAAATGAAGTATTATTTTGATAACTACTTTTTATACAAGGTAAATTATTACCGTGTCCATTATTTCTCGAAACAACAAAAGACAGACTTCACAAACAAAACAAATTCTTCAGCACTGACACGGTTAATATTTTTCCCCAACAAAAACCGATTCTCCGAAATCCATCGCGGAACGGCCACACAACGGACACCGATATCACGCGGACCCGTCGGAATCGACGGGTCCGTTCTCACGACGGATCCGTAACATGCACGTTCCTGCGGTCCACGTGAAACGAACCGAAACGAAACTTCCTTCTGCGGTCCTCGGCAGCGGGGAACCTCTCGAAAAGTTCGGCGCCGGTTCGTTGCGGCGACCAAGAGACCGAGACCGTCGTTAATCATTCGACAGTGGCCCGCGGTCTCCTGGTACGAGCCGTTAACTTCCCATCGACCTGGCTCTCTTCTCGTCACAGGCTACTGCGGGGCGTTCACGAACGGGCCGTCGAGACCCGTCATCGATAGGGAAAATATATATCGATTCCGGGCCGGCGACTCCTCGCCGCGGGAAGAAAATCGTCGACAGCAATTTCGCGGGCTGTAATTAATGTCTACACTTAACAGGCGAGCCGGGCGCAATTAACAATTCTCGAACCGGGTGCTGTGCTCTTTTCAAGCCCGACGCTCATTGAACTGACCGTAAATTAAATGTTCGCCCCCGATGTACTCGGCGAGGCTTCACGCCGCCTCGGCTACGCTCTCGCAATTTATCGCGACGAGGTGAAAGTTTGAAATAACGTGTATACTGCGTCGCGAAATTGCTCCGTTTTCCGTACTGTTATACGGTAATACTTCTGCCGCGTTCGTGAGATCTGTTGTTCTTTTTCTTGGTTTTTCCTGTGCCCTTCTTTTGATGTTTTTGTATAGGGCTTAGTTAAGTCTTGGTTCGTGAGATCTGTTGTCCTTTTTCTCAATTTTTCCTGTGTGTTTCTCTTGTTGTTTTTGTATGATATTCTTGACGCTATTCACGTGGAAGCGGCGGTTGCTTTAATCGTAGTTTTTCAACTTCCGAAACCTGGTTTACTTTTAATTAGAAAGATGAGACGGTTCTTTGAGTTTCCCCGATGAAGCCCGCATGGCTCCTCGCCGTCTTTTAATTGACTGTCCTGGAGTTTCCATAAGATTCGTATTGATATCGTAAGAAATTTACAGACTACGGCGAATAATTTGCTGAGTCTATTCGAGGAATGTTATTCGCGAATTAAGATTCTGATTGGCGAATGCGATAGAGAGAAACGAGCTTGGAAGATAAATGTCATGTAGGGAATGTGTTTGTGTAATATCTGGAACACACGTTTTGTACAAATATTTTTTTGTTTCTATCGTATGGACCATATGGTGCTTTATACTATTATTGTTTATTTATTCAGTTCCCTGCGAGAGATAGAAATATAATTGCTTTCGATTTGAATATTTTATATTTTACGTTCGAAGGTATTTAGAAACGTGTATTCAAACGAATTGAAAGTTTAATATAAAATAGTTATTTAAAGAAATTCAGAGAATATTTACTATGATAATGTATAATAAAACACTTTTGAATTAAATATTTTAATTAGTTTATTTAGAAAAAATAAAAGTACTACAGAATTAATCAGTATATTATTTGTCCATTATAGTGAAATATAATATAATAAATATAATGTCATAAATAGACATAACATTGTAATTCAAAATTATATGCTATGACAGTTAACCGTTCTAATAAAAATATTTTCATATCTATAAGCATGACATTTTAAATTTAGGGTGTTTTATACAAAATCAAACCACATTGAAATAAATCTATATGTAAAAAGCAATTGCAAATGTAAGAAAAATTCTATATAATACTTTAAGTTAATTACAACTATGAACAAAATCATAGAATTGGAAGTATTTATTAATCTGTGAATTTAAAAAAGACTTACTCTTACCAAGAACATGAAGTAGTGTAAATTGTTCTTTCTTAATTATTTTATTTTCCTTCGTAATATATAAATATGAGAAATAATCCCAAATGGAAGGATAATAAAGAACATATGCAGCAAACGATCATTTCTTTGCGATCGGCACCACAATGGCGGTATTTAGAATTTGTGTTCAAAGCTAGTTTGTCACTATGGCAGCATAATTTTACACTCCAGTACATGCATTATTTTATGATCTATTGATTCAACGAATTATTTCCAATAATTAAAGTACTAATAAATCGACTTTTAAAGTTTTTTAAAATATCATATTTATTCTGAAACACTCCAAAAATCGACTTCTTTTATTTTTACGCACTATGGCCACCAGAGAAATGTGCCGATCGCAAAGGTTTCGAGTGATACGACAGAAGTATTAATTTGCCGTCTCATTAAAGCGATATGGCGTGTTTAAAAAGATTCAGTTGGCGGTTCGTTTCTTTGACCGTCGCAAATTTCATTAGTCTTCATCCGTGATGCGCAGTAATCTCCGAATGGAACAACACCGAGGACGAGGAGCCGAGGAACAAGAGTGGCATTGTATTGGCGACCGGCAGTCCCTATCAGAATAACGAGGGTCCGTTGCAGAGAGACGAAGTAAAGGCCACTTTTAATAAGGAGGAAAACAACGATAATGCCCGTAAGTCTACTCGCCTGGTTTCTGGTATTGTTGCATCGAAGGGTTCCCTTCGTAATTTTCCGCACGATTTCCACTCTTCTTTATTCCCCACCCACCTCCTCACCCTCTTTTCCCGGCCTGCCTTTTTGTGCTTCGATGCTGCACGAAAATTGAATGCCGATCACGAACAGTCCTTTTTTTCCATTGCTTTTTCCTTTTCCTTTCTCCTCTCTTTCCTCCTTGTTGTTTCTCCCGCTCGCTTTTACAATGTTGATTGGGTACAATGGGGTGAAAGGGATCGTATAACGAGATTTTGAAAAAAAATTTGATTCCCGACCCCATTATTGCGCGCTTGGTTCCAATGGAACAGTGCGGCCCGATTAATATCGAATGTTTTAATTCTATTTTTTAGAATTCTCTATTTATACCGCGTCTAGTGTTTTGTATGAGGCTTTTGATTCTAGTCCCTTTTTCATTCGTGTTTAGCTTGGACCTAGTGAAATACGTGATTTTGTATTGGTTTTAAGGTTTCGTAAACTTTAAAACATGTGTAGTTATGAAGAATACATTAGTCAAGTGATCTGGCTAATTTTATATATGTTTGTGTAGTCTATGATAACCGAAGAATATTCGTAATTAATTTTAATCGTATGGTTGGGTACTTTTATGTAAAACTAAGTAAAAAATAATATTAAGGAAATAAATTGCAGGAAATAGATTTATGAATTAATTTCGTGTAATTGAAGTCGTAATATTAAAATGCATATAATATAATAAATATAATAAAAACTTCAAAGTATTGAACACGTAGTATTACTCGTGAAGATTTCAGAAAATTGTGTCAACATTTCCGTTTTGAGCAGTTGCAGTGGATACAAAAATTATTTATATGAATATTATAATCGGTCATAAATTTAAGGGCTATGGCGAATTTAAATATTTTTGTAGCATTTAAAAAATTTGTTTACATGATAGTATAAGATGTTCATGCTTTGAATTTATTTCTATATTTTATATATTTTCTGATAAGATATGGTATCTTTTACTTCTTAAAAGCTCTTCGTTTTGTTATCAAACTAAACAACGGAGAGGATCGAGAATTTCTCTTCCACGAAATCTATAAATCGATAATGTGTCAATACCATTCCATTCTTTTATCGTTGCCAGGAGAAAGTAAAACCTAATTAATTTCCTTTTTTCCGGTTCCGTCCTCCGGAGAGTACTTCACTTTGAGTTGAAGTGTTAAAGGAGGTAAATCTAAAGTACTTCTTGCCAACGTTTTCACGTCGTCGTATTGCCCAATAAACGATCTAATTGTTATCCAGCACTTCTTCTTTGAAAGGATATTAAGTTTAATCGACCAGTTTTATGACCGAGTTCACGGAGAACTTGTTTTACTTTTTGCAATGCTAATAGACAGAATTTTATTGAATACTTCCTTTTTGTGTCAAGAACCATGCCACTCGATCTTTTTCGAACATTCTGCTTTCTCATAATAATGATTCGTGCGTTTTCCTTAAAATTCATTTACTAAAGTATATGAGATAAATAAAAGTTTGTACTTGTAATAGAGGTTTACATTTTCAGTTTTTGTATTATTTCACATAATAGCATCACTATATTAATAATAGTATTATAGTTTAATTATAGTTTTTTAATAAGCTTAAATTATTATCTAATCATCTTTCTTTATGCAAATAATAATTGTGCAAGTCTTTTCGTCAGTAACTAAAATGAATTGATTACTTTTACTTTCATTACTCAATTCTTCACTGCGATTTATGTATTTATTATACATTATTATTTAATTATATTCAAGTTTATAATATGCATAGATAAACAGTATAACAATTATAATAATATTAAATAGCGAATGTTATTTACAGTCATATATATATCTTAATTATTTATTTATTGTATAAAATAATGCAATGCAAAAGTTATAAAAACTGCAGGAAAATAATGTAAGCAAAGTGTCATAATATTTTCTAAGGTGTCAAAAACCTAAAATTTTTAGTACTTCCAATAACAAAATTGAAAATAAAAGGAAACTTTAAATATATGCACGTCGCCAGCAATATTTTCATTGCAGATGTCGAAGAGAAAATTAAAATTTTTTGCATCTACGCAACACGGGTCGTGTAAAGCTCGTTTCATTCGGTCTTTCACGTGACGGGACCAATATTCCGTACTCTGCGCAATAATCTTCAGCTCACGGGAAAGGAGAAGTAGAAACCAAGCAAGAAACGTTACAGAGTGTAACGTGGTGTTTCCTCTCGTCGGTTTGGAGTGTATTTCCGTGGAGCGTTACGACATGCGTTAGAATAGAAGCAAAATGAGTCTGGTCTGTAGCGATCTCAAATGAAGCGCGAAAGAGCTCGAAATTCCACGGAACTTTCTTTCAGGATGGAATACAGCAAAATCGCTGATAAAACGACAGTCGTTTGAATGTAATATTAAATGCAGTGAAATCTCCAGTATCCGAACAAATAAAGGAACGTGTAGTACACTAAAGTATATTTTATTACTAAACCACGTATCTTTGTACAACCATAGAAATATAAAATTATATTTGAATTATATTTGAATGTTGTATATTCTGATGTTGCATTAATAATACGTTAATATATAATATACAATACACTGTTATATGTATATATAATATAGTGCAACAATTATTATTAATATAATACTAACGAAGTACTAACATATCTACTAATATTATTAATCTTCTCAACGAACAGAGCGTGCGCATCGTGAAAGCACTCAAGTATGGAGGGATTACTGTGCATTTTTTCACTGAATGATGGAAAGCATTTTTCTTTGATTATTTTTTTTCTGATCGTTAAATGGGCCGAACAATATGAAACTATAATGAACAGTCGATCGCCGATTAAAAGCAACCGATCGACAGAGGTGATCCACGTTGATCCAATTATAGCGCGCATGATGAACGCAATCATCATTATCACCCCATCGTGCATTATGCGAGATTGCCTTCACGATAATATCCACCGTGATAGGTCATGTACATTGGTGTATCCGGTCCCCTGCCTGGTAGACACTGGAGACACGTATACTTGCATGTCTGGGATCACGTACGATTGTTCATGGGGCCTCAAACGCACGTCCGCATCAAACCACGAGACCGTCGTTTTACTCTTCGTCACCTCTACTAATTGGATGCCATTGAACACAGTTACCAGAGAATTTGGTGGCGCTCGAAATAAAATACGGAAATTGCTAGAAAGTTGTTTATATTAGTGCTGATATCAAGCACTTTACTTAAATTCTCTTATTGTAATGTAACTCATTTTGTAACTAATTTTATATTTAAGCCATAATTATTAATAGTCAATATTCGTGAAAAGCTTTCAACTCTATTAATGAACATTTGGGAATAATTATTCATAAAGGTATTGTTCTATTAAATTCATTGCATATTTACGTCTTGTTATATTTTTCCTTTGAAATATGTGAGATGTTTGGGGATAATCATCTTCTTCGCAAAATTTAATTACTTCTAAATTTAATAAATTAACATGTGCACGATCTTTAACCAATAAAATTACTAGTTTAACATTAAAACTACCAGACGTATCAAAATAACCCATTCCTGCTTTCTTCTTTTTGGAATTATAAAAAAGAGAACAGATGTTTCTCTGAGGAATTATTAGAGAAATCGATGTAACAATGCGTAAACTGAAGTGAAAATCGATTAAAGTCTCAATAAATGTACTCGTAAAGTTTCTATAGAGGAATTTCAAAAAGTTAATTCAACTGCTCGATAGTTTCAGTGTTAATAAATGTTTGTGTATTTTATCATAACTGTAAGATTTTGATATTTTTATTATTTCCAACATTATAGCCCAACACGTGAATTGAATACAATTTTTTAATTATTATTTGAATCTGTCACATACGCTCACTTTAACTACCAAAACATTATTGTAAGTAATTGTTGCTTATAACTGTTAGTTCCAGAAAAGAGTAAGGAACCGGAATCGAAACAGTTCGTCGGTCTGGTGATCGGAATCCTAACAACGGTGATCGTAATGCTACTGGCGGCCATCATGTTCATTTTCTACAGAAACAGGAGACTCAAAGCTGCCCTCGCGCCATCGACATTCTACGATCAACACGGGGATCTAAAGGTAAGGCGACCTCGCACGGACACTATTTTTCAATCACCAATATTAAAAGTGCATTTCTTTAATTGAATTCTTTGAAATGTTTTCATCTGCGAAGTAAGTGATACTTCTATGCATTTTTTTTAAAAAAGGCAGAGTAGTTGATCAAAAGAGTAATCAAATATTTATTACTTCGACAATTGGATTTAAAGAGTTTCATTTAATTAAGAAAGGAAAATATTAATTGTTGTTGTTACTCTTTAATGAAACGTGTTTAAAGACAAAAATAAAAATTGAATTTATACTTAATATGAATCTAGTTGTACAAAATTCAGAATTGATCGAAATATAAATAAGATGAACTGAAATATTCACTTCCTTATTAATTCACTATGCAAGTCGATGCTTTTACTTTTCCATTACGATAGACACCAATGTTATCATCGCTAGTAGATCGTCTTTATTCTCGTCTTTATCCTCGGTCGATTAAAAACAAGCACCGTCCGCGCGATTTAAACGAAATTACAACATAAACATGCGGATCTCAAATAAAAGGTGAACAAACAGCGAGGATCGTAAAATTTCTCTCGGAATTCAATCAGCCAGTTAAATCCATCGTTTGAAACTTTCGAATTACCTTCGTTCCACGAGTTTACATTGCCCAGAGTCTCATTTAAAATCCTTTAACCGGACAGCATTTATTCGACGCCGGTTCACCGTCGTTCTCGCGACGCGAGATTTTCCTCCGACGCGTCATCCGTCGAGGAAATTGTTAGTAACGCGACGAGGCGACCGGTGTCTCCCTCGAATCGTAACAAGGCAACGGGCTCGCGGTCGGAAACCGAGACATTGAATGCCACCTCGTTACCGTTACCGGAGTAATCCTTTAACTCGACGCTGCCAATTTGCCAAATGACGCCGATTTTGTCTCCCTTCCCTCCTCACATGATTTTTCCTGAGCGCGATTCGACGTCCGGTTTTTTAAGATTTATTTTGCGCCTAATAAACCCTGAACTATAGATTCCTATTTCACGTCTACGTAAATACACGCGTGCGTACGCGTGTAATAAATTTTAACGTTGCAGTCCTATGTAGAGCTAGACTAAACATTCAATTTATTCGAATAGTATAGTAATTGATAAATTTTTGCCACAATTATTCATACTACCTTAATTGCATCGTATATAAGTACATTTTCAACGTTTCTCAACTGTCCTCAAATAAATGATGAAAGTCCTATATTAAGTTTCACTTGACTGAAAAAATATTGATGCAAGTTCCAAAATGAGAGACTAACTTTTCGAGAGACTAACTGCGAGGGTGTGATCCGTCAAGTTTTTAATTCATGAGTACTCGTGTGGTTCTGTTACACCTGTGTACAGTCGGTGAACAGGTGAACTTGAAGTTTTGAATCTTATCTCGTCAGTTGTTAAGAAATAAAGAAATATTCACAGGGCAATGTAATACACACGCAAACGGATATGTAGATTTGGGAATATGGATTTTTAATTCTTTAATTTTGTAACTGTTAAGCCTGTGTTATACACAGGCACATCGAATTTACGAAGAACGATATTAAACCTGTTATTAATTTCTTCAAATTCAGGACTACGGTATAGTTTGTCTATATAAATGAAAAGCGTTTGTTATTAGGAATTGAAAGGAATTTTATATTCGCAATCAACTGAAAATAAGGGGAGTACTAGATTTGAAGTTCGCAAATAACACTGTTTACCGAGAAAATTTGACAATTAATTGGTTAATACATGCTTCACGTGCAATGTATACATTGAGCCTCTCCCGTCATGGCCTACTACTCACAAGTTAAAAGCGCACAGTGTCTCTCGCTCCACCTCATTTTTTCTAAAGTTGGACCTCCTAGAATTCGCCAACATTCATTTTCTATCGTTACATCTCACTTTGTCGCATTTGGTTTCGTTTGCGTTCTTTATTATGCGACTCGACCAATGACAAGTATCTCTCAAAATTAAGGCGTTACTGTTGATATAAGGCCAAGACTACACAAGCGTTTTAATCCTCGAAAGACGAATGCTTCGACACTCAAGCAGCAGGCGAATGCAGGGTCAGTGACCCATAGGAAACATTTGTTATTGGGAGTATTCACAGGGGAATATTTGTTCAAAATGTTACAAATATGTTTACGTATGTATAGTACTTATTACAAGTAAAAGCAATTAGTACATAAAGTAGTTACATGTGTCATATAATTATTACATGTAAATTTTGTACATACTCCACATTTTATACTATATATAATTAGGTCAAAATGACCAGCATCCACAGTGCGAGGGTTAAAACACCATCCGAGCGGACAAATTATCAACCAATAAGGAAATTCCCTTTTGAAATCCGCCGATCGCAAAGTTCCTATTTACTAAAACACACCTGCAATTTACTGGAAACATTTCATCACCTCTGCCCTGCCTAAAGAACGATTCGGTAGGCCGCCTACAACAATCAAACGGTTCACATTGTAACTTCTAACATTCTACCGCCGCGAATACGTGTTGTACTTATAGTTCGTAACGCATTATTCAACGTTTCTAGGATCATAGTTAAAATAAGTATACACAGTTCTCTAAAATATCGTTAAAACATTGAAAAGTCCTTCTTACTTCAACTAATACAGAGAAACGTTCACGTACGAAGAATACACGTGTGATAAAAATACGGATCCTGAATTTCTTAATACACGTTTCGCGTGCCACGTTTACAGTTTCATTTTAGTTCACGTCTAAAATCGAGACCTTTACTCTAAATCGATAGCGGCGCCTATTTGCCCTATGCTCGGTGAAAAGGCTTTTGAGCAATCACGGAAAACATCTTAGCCGTGTTCGACACGATGTCCTGGATGCCGGCCATGGAAGTTCAAGCTAGGATGGGAGCTGATCAAATATTTTTCTTGAAGCCGGTAAAGAACGTGCATCCATGGCCGAAACGAAGATTCAAAAGAATATGGCGTCACCCTGGAAATCTTGGACCGCTTGCCCTCGTAAATCATGAATCACAAAGTCCTCGTTTTTCGGGGAATCCCTTGCCCAACGGTCTTGAATGATCACATTTTGACTGTCAATATTGTTACGTTCAGATTGATGTTTTCACGTTTTCGATGTTCATGGAAAGTATACTAAGCGACTCGTGTAACGCGTCCACTTAGAATTTTACACGAACTGTTAATTTTATCGTAATGTGTAGGAAATAGAAGTTTTTAGATTTAAAGATGAACACACTTTATAATATTTAGCTTCTTTTATTTTTCTAAATAATACAACAAATTAATTTTTTTACGAACATGAAAAAAGTATTACATTCTAAATCTATAAGTTTTATAATTGCAATTTACACAGCTGTTCCAGTCTAAATAAATCTTAATTTTGTTATCAAATTAACTATAAAGAAGATATTATAGTTTTTATTTCTCCTATGTTGTAGGTTTTTGTCATCTGTGTACGTTTGTTGTGGCTTATTTATTAAGAAGTTATCTTTCAAATATAATGATGATGATTTTCATCATCTACAGTGCACAGATTTATACCTATTGTATTATTATTAGTTTTAACTATTAATTTAATATTTAGTATTCAAATTATGTGTTTGATCGAAACATTAAATATTATTTTTATTTGAACAAGCTTTTTGCGAAATGTTTCTAAATACACGTTCTCCAAAAATGCGATCGAATATTCTTATGGCATAATGTATGCTATCGGACATTTAAAATAGATTTTATGAAGAGAAAAACAGATTTTTAAGATTCATTCTACAGAATTCTAAACAGACATCACATGTAATACAAACGTGTACTATATAAGAAACAAAATAGATTTTTATTATAAAGTGCCATTTTTACCGAAATCAACTTATAAAAAGGGGAAAAAAGCGTCACACATAATACATTGACCATTTAACGACCATGTCCGTGACATATACGGGCATGAAGAATTTACGCAAGACCGTATTAACCTTTACTAATTTATGTAAATTCAAGATCACAATTTATTTCTTCCACATAAACGAAAAGCGTTTGTTAGGAAAAATTCAATAGTAAAATTTCATATTGATATTCACATGGAAAAGAGAGGAATGATTGACTTGAAGATCGTATATAACCTTGCGAACCGAGAAAATTTGTCCATTAAACACGTATACGCTACATCCAACATTCTCATAACATTACACGCCGCAACACCCGTAGAAAAAGTCATAGAAGCGATTTATTTCGTAAAAAAGTGTGGTGAAAAGATATGTCCATTGTGCCATATTAGCCCCATGGAGTCGTTCACTTTTTACTACCTAATTCTTCTCGTAACGTCAGGTCAAGAGATATTGAGGTGGAGAGTTTTCGGTTGGCGATCCAGCATTTCGTTCGACGCGATAGCTGCGCCGCAGAGAAATTGTTCAAAGAGAAGGAGAGATATATATATGTTTACATATGCTATATACATGTTATATATATATATATAGTTATATAGTTGGAGAAATGTGTCTATCTCGCTCGTAAATCCTGTACTGACCGCGCGCGAGCGCGGGAATTATTAAAGTTTTATATTTGTTGTCATCCGTGCGCGGTTCCGTGTGCCGTTGGCCACCGCCGAAAAGACCGCCGTCCGGTACTCTCTGTACACACAGGTGCCGGGGTCTGGTAATGAGAGCCGCGCGTTTCAAGACGAAAAATTAATTACCGCTGTTAGCGCGGCGGGCAGCGTTGAAACACGAGGCGAGGTGAAAAAAGGAAGGAACAAGTCCGGCGAGCACAAAGGAAAAAATAGAGAGACGGACGCCAGGCAAGGCATTCCGACTTCCCCTTTGTATTGGAGAAAAGAAACGAGACACGACTGGGGAACGTGGAAATAAGTAAATGCACGGGGAACGCGTTCCTCGGAAAATTGGTATTTAACGAAGCACGAGGTCGAAGGAAACGCGGAGGCGCGGCCCAGTTCGGCCCGTGAACCGACTGCGAACTTGCACGGATTGAAATTCTCGCGAGGAATTCGGTAACGTGT